TTGTTTACATAAGAATTAATCCGACAAAAAACGAAAGTGTTTGTTGTGCTTGTACTTGTTGTTGTTGCTGTGACGCGTGAGAGAGTTTGTAACAAACAAACGCAAATAATTTTTTTTCGTTATTATTATTATTATTATTTACATACGCATTAAGAAAAAAATACAATCAAAATAATAATAATAATAATTCACTTACCTTATATTAATAAATACATAAAACTTATTACTATTATAATTATTATCAATAAATAATTAATCGAATCCGTTGAAACCAAAAAAAAAAAAAAAATCAAACGAAAAACGCATCGTCACAATTTAATTTAACCGTCGGTTAAATTAAATAAAATTAATAATAATGATAATAATAATGGTAATAATAATAATAATAATAATAGTAATGATGATGATGATGACGAGGAATTCAACAAAAACAAACAAAAACAAACGAGAAGGAAAAAAAAAAATTTTTACTTTTGGCTCTCGTTTTTCAAAATGTTCTTCTGTTTGTTATCGATATCATCATCATCATCATCATTATTATTCACGATATGAAATTTATTAACTTATTAATAATAATAACAATAATAATAATAATTCGTGCGTAAAATATAATAATAATAATAATGATTTTGACTTACCTTTTTAATTTCGCAATTTTTCACTCATGAATTCTTCTTCATCTTCATCTTCTTCTTTTCATTATTATTATTATTATTTAATATTTAACATAAAGTAAACGAAATTACGCGTACGGGGGAGGAGAATGGGGGTCTCTGTGGGGGGACAAACAATCGAAACGATTCGATATCTCGACTATCGAAAATTTTTATAAAAAATTGATAATAATCATTACGAAAACGCAACGAAATCAAATAAAAATTTGAATTTTTTTTTTTTTTTGTTAAATTTCAACGGGTTTGTACGTTTGTACGTTTGTTAGTCGTTTGTATTACGTTTGTACGGACGCACGTTTGTTTTATCGGATTTTTTATTTTTATTTTTGATTAGATAACGTGTGCGTCCGAGTGTGACCCATAAAAAAAAATTTTTCAGGTGCGTTGCGAAGTAAAAAAAATTTTTTTTTTTTTTTTTTTTTTACGATTCGACAAACAAAACATTCAATTCGCGTATCAAACAAACAACAAACGAATGATTTTTATTTTTATTTTTATTTTTCCTTAATCTCATTTCAATTTCCCTATTCGACAGAAAAAAAAAAATAATGAAAAAGAAAATTTTTTATTAATCGTGACAATTGAAACCTTTTATTCCGTGAGATTAAATTGACAAGCGAACAAACAAACAACAAACAAACGCATACAAAATCCCCCCCCAAAAAAAACAAACAAACAAACAAACAAAATTTTGATTAAAAAAAGAAAATCTGAAAATCTGCAAATCAAATAATTTCGTTTTGAATAAGATCCCGTTGAAGAAAAAAAAAAAATTATTTATTATCTCCTGCCACGACAAAATCACCGATCACGTTTTTTTTTAATTTTCTTTTTTATCCAGGCCTGGAAAATTTTTAAAAAAAACTTTTCCAAAATTAACAACATTTTTCCAAAGCAAAAAAACCAATTAGTACCATTTTCTCTCTCTCTCTCTCTTTCGCACGAACATCCGTTATCTTTTTTTTTTTTTTTTTTTTTAATTCCGCCATGAAAAATAAGGAAAATTGGCAACGTTGTAAATACATTTTTTCCCTTCCCCCTTCCCCCCTTCCTTCCCTTCCTTTTTTTCAGTTAATTAAAATTAAATTGAAAAAAAAAAATTTTTTTTTTTCTTTTCGTAATCAATTACAAAACGAAATCGAAGCAAATTTTTTTTTTTTTTTTTTTTTTTCTACCGGCCAGCGTTCGAACGTTCGAAAAACTTTTTTTTTTTCAAAAATTTTAATTAAAAAAGAGAGAGAGAGAGAGAGAGAGAGAGAGAGAGAGATACACACAAGGAGAGAAAGAGAAAGAGAGAAAGAAAATGTCAACAAAATCATCTTGGTATAATAATAAGTTTTCGTCGTTTGAAACATTTCGATCACGTGACACACTTTACACGCTCCCGCGCCCCCTCTACCTATATATCATCCCTAAGCCTCAAAAACCATTTGAAGTCTTAAATTTTTTCCTAATTATTATTATTATTATTATTTCTCTTTCTATTCATTCATTCATTCAATCATTCCGACGAACGTATAATCCATTCGCGAATGAATATAATAATAATAATAAAGAGCATGATAGACGATTGGAAAAAAATTAAAAAGTAATAAGAGGCAAACGGTCGTAGACAAATTTCGGCCATTACTCGGAAAAAAAATTATCAATTTCCCATTCGAAAAAACAATTATTACATAAGTTAAATATAAAAACCTACATTCTTTTTCTATCGCAGACGTTTTTTTTTCTCTCTCAACAATGGACGAAGGTGCGTGCGTGCGTGCGCGCGCACGTACGTTTATTAGATAACGCTTTTGAAATTTTTTTCTTTTTTCTTTTGTAACGCGCCCGTACAAACGATATCATATCGAATAAAAAATGACCGTTAATTAAGTTAGTTACGAACACAACCAATTATTATTATCATTATTATTATTATTATTACTTTTTTAATTAAACTTTCGTTAAACTCGCGCACGCGCACCACCACACTTTTTTTTTCGCCGCTCCTTCGATTGATATTTTTTAAAATGATAATTACGCAATAAATAATAATAATAATAATAATACAAATGGATACCTTTTTTAATTATTCTCCTACTCCTCCCCCTCCTCTTCCCCCCATGAAAAAACACTCGCGTTGAAAAAAAAACCGATATTACTATTATTATTATTATTAATTGTAACGATTCCGGCAAAAATTATCTGATTTAGAAAATGGACGCCACATGAGTATTTAATAAAATTAATTATCGCGGTATTTGGTGATTATTCGCTTAAATAACACCCCCCCCTCATCACGGGGGAGACTTTTTACCCCCTCTTTTCCCAGGTACGCACTTTTTTCCACATCACAAACGACAAATTAAAATTTGACACACATATTAAAAAATTTGCAACGGCAACGACAACGACGATCACGATGACGACACGTCTCGCGACTATCCTTTATTAATAATAATTTACAAATAAGAGTGTAAGAGTGCGCTGCGATCGCGCTTAAACCGGAAGTGACGTCATCGGGAATCAGTCCGAGGGTTGGATGAGGTGGAAAGGGGAAGGAGGAGGGGAGTGGGAAAGAGAGAAAAACAACAAAATAAAGAAATAAATTTTTTGATACGAATTTGATATTCGCAATAATAATAATAATAATAATAAACAATTTTTTGTTTTCCTTTTATTTATTTATTTGTTTATTTTTATTTTTTTTTTCCGTTTATTTTTAATTTTTTTTTCATTTTCGTTTCCATTTTAATTATTATTATTATTATTACTATCACTATTATTATTATTAATAATATTATTATTATTACTAGGTATTATTCTTAATTATTTCACTTAATTCTTATTAATTATTATTATTATTATTATTATTATTATTATTATTATTATTATTATTATTATTATTATTATTACTTGAGTTCTCTTATAAATTATTAACTACTACTCTTCACACGCACGCACGCACACGTGTATATCACGTGCGTACATAATCAAAAAAAAAAAAAAAAAAAACTACACGAAACAAAAATTAATTTTTTTTTTTACAACAAAATGATATTATATTAACACGAATGGAGAGAAAAAAAACGATAATAATAATAATAATAATAATGATAATGATAATAATAAGATAAAAAATTGAAAAAAAACCTTTTTTGAACCTTTTTTAAACTTTTTTTTTGTTTTACATCATCATTTAACCTTTTCTTCTTATTCTTATTCTTCTTCTTCATCTTCATCTTCTTTATCTTCTGCTTTCTTCATCTTCTTTATCTTCTGATTTCTTCCAACTTCGTACAATAAAAAAAATTACATTTTAAATATCAACGGACGCTCATGCAAAAAACGGAAATCGCACGCGCACGTGTTACGCGCACGCACGTGCAAACACACACGTGTATATACATACACACGAGATATAAGTTTTACATCGTAAAAAATTTTTTTCCGTAATTTTCAAAAATAATAATAATAATAATAATAATAATGATATTAATATTAATAATAATAATAATGATAATAATAACAATAATAATAATAATAATAATGATAATTATTAATTATAATTTTTTTTTTTTGTTTTATTAATTCAGTCGATTTTATCTGTGCGCAACTAGCTCAGCGTTAAACGTAATTTCTTCATTTATTTCTCTATTGACACGACGAATTTAATTTTTTGTTTTTTTTTATACTCCCCCCCCTTCCCACCCATTGAATCGGTTGTCGCCATTTTTTCTGTTTGCCACACGCGCGTTGTTTTTCCTATACAAAACAATTAACAACCAATCAAAATCACTTTTGCATAAGAGTATGTATGTATGTATATATATATATTTGTATAATAACGACACAACCAAAAACGTTTTTTTTTTTTTTTTCTCCATTTTATTTATTTTTTATTATTTTTTTTTTCATTTTAATTTTTTTATTATTTTTTTTTTTTTGTTTTAAATTTACTCGTCACTCCCGTGTGTATGTATGTTGCGTGTGCGTGCGTGTGTGCGTACGCACGCGCGCGCGTTCGCGCGAGTACAACCGGCTATACGACCACCACTGATTCCATTTAGAATTCATTTGAATACACCGTAACATTTTATTTCACTTTTTTGCGTTGTTGTTGTTGTTGTTTGTAGCATTGAAAGAACAAATTATTAGGAAAAAAAAAATGTCTTCTGCTTCATCTTTTGAATTTTTTTTTTTTTTCGTCCCCCGTCTTATTCGCGCGTTCGAGTTTTTTTTGTTTTTTTTTTTTTCAATTTCAAATGTTTCGATTATGTAAAAAACCGATTTGTATTTAATAATTATAATTATTATTATTAATATTATCACAACACTCTTATCTCACGACGAACACGTGGCCATCCATCCAGCGGGACAGGTACAAGGAACTGGGTAACACGGTTGAACGGATGCTGCGATCACTGGAGCGTAATAATAACCGTTCGCGTATAAGAACTGAGGCCGGTGTTGAGTGAGGAGTTTTTGCTGTTCCTCGCACAGAACTCTGCAAGCGAGTTCTTCTATTAGGGCTAGCGTTTGCCGTCGTTCGTGACCCATGAGACACACGGTGGATTCTTCCACGACGTTATGGAGCAACATGAGGAATTGATACATTAGAGACTCTTCTTCGGGACCGACGAAATGATTCCAAAGGTAATTTTCCAATTTCGATTGCTGTTGGTTTATGTCGGGGAAATCAATGAAAAATCGTGAGCACATGTACCTTTCCAACATTTTAATGTGGTCCGGACGAGCGGGCCGGTAGTTTTTAACGAGCAAAGTGCAATACTTGAGCAATCCACCTCCGCGGATTTCTTCCGGATGCCTCGTGGATATGAGTTTTTGCTGGAGATGGTACAAGGCTTCTTGGAAATCACCGTAAACGGATTCGCCGACGACGGTCGGATAAAAATTTTCTCCGATCGGCAATTTGCTACATTCGTAAAATAATAAAAGAGAGTCCAAGACGATCTGAAAAGAGTCGACGGAAAATTCGAACTGTCTCCGCATAGTGTCCACAAATTTGAGTTCGACATTCTTGTGACCGCGGGAATTACCAAGAGAGATCAGAGACCAACGATCACCGTCGTGATTCACTTTCACCATTTTGCTGACGTAAGCCTCCTTGAGAGAACACGTTGTGATTTTTTTCGGGTTCACTCCCTCGGGTAGTAAATCAAAGAGCGAGCTAACAACAGCGGATTTAACTCGGTCGAAATTTCGACCGCTGGTAAGCTCCACGCCGAATATGAGATCGAGATCATTGTACGGTTGAGACTCCGTCGCGAGAACGTGGGATGCGGCTCCTCCGTTGAGCCGTATGTCACGCACCTTCATTCCGGCGCCCCCTGAGGATTGTTCGGATTCCAGCTTGGTTCTGACGATTGTCACGAGATCTCGGAGCCTGACTTCGAGGGTCGGAAAATTTCCACGGCCGTATATGCTGACTTTTTCTTCCATGACGTCGTTGAGACGGCGAACTTGTTCGCAAGATAAAACAGCCAAACGCTGCCCTCCCTCCGAACCTGTTTTCACCCCTAGTGAGTCCATCATAGCGACTTGACGACGCCTCTCAGGTGCGACTTCCAACAAACCACACTAAAACAAAACAAAAAAAAAAAAAACGAAAAATTTCAATCACTCTTCAACTTTAATAATAATAATAATAATAATAAATTTTATCACAAATTACAACGAACACGAAATGCGTTTTTAAAAAATTTTCTTTTCATTTTTTTTTTTTTTTTTTTTAAAAAAAACTCATAAAAAAATTTCATTTTTTTTTTAACCTAACCCAATTTATCATCTACTTAGCAACAAACGAACAAACAAGCAAACAAACAAACAAACAAACAAAAAGTTAAACTTTTCCAAGTTTCTAAGTCTGTGGAAAGGAAAAGATTTTTTTTTTTTTGTTTTTTACGCATTAAACGTAATCAACGATTGTCAAAAAAAAAAAAAAAAAAAAAGGGTAGGCCTGATCGATGATGACGACCTTAAACGAGATTATTCAAACGAAAAACAAACAAAGTCAAACAAACAAAATCAACACAAACAAACAAAAAGAAATAATACTAATAATATTAATGTAATTAATTAATCACGAACGGGAATATTATTATTTTTTCATTTTTGTTCAATCTCAACTCTGTAAATTTTTAATATTTTCATTCGAGTTACTCTTTTTTTTTTTTTCTTCATATAAATAAATAAATAAATAAATATATAAATAAAAAAACAAGAATCATTAAGAACAGAAAAAAAAAAAAAAATTGCAAAAGCGACCCTGAACTTTACGACGACGCAAAGCTAAATACGATGTGCCATGACACATTATCCTCCAGCACTCGACGCGTACATCCTGCTACCACCACTTGGCTCTCTTTATTGTCAACATTATGACGATGATGATGATACTTGTTCCACTTGCTTGCTGAAGAACAAGTTTTCAGCTAATATAATAAGAATAATAATAATAATAAACGACAATCAAAAAGTTTTTGAACTTGCGATAAATTTTATATTTAAATCCGGTGTCGGAGGGGAGAAGGGAGGGGGGAAAACGCGAAAACGCGAAAATGCTGAGACGTGAGGCAATGGTGGCATCGTCGACGTTTTCTTCGTCGTCGTCGTCGTCGTCATATTCATATCATTTCACATTCCGTAACGGTTTCCCACGTGTGTGTGTGTGCGTGCCTCAATTTAAGCTTTCTTTCTCTCTCTATCTCTCTCTAACACTCTAAATTTGATGCCAACATTAAAAAAAAAAATTTATATACAATGTAACAACAACTGATAACGGCCTTCGTAATTTTATTCATTTAATTTTTTTTACCACGTCTCAATTATTATTATTATTATCATCTTTTCATTGATTTGAGATTTGTGACGTCACCGACGGCAACAACGACAACGACAAAAACAACCACCCGCAAACGTTTTTCTAGTTTTTTTTTTTCTCATTTCGCGACTTAAAAACAAATAAATTTTCTTTTAACTTTTCCTTTCAACCCTTTTCCCCCCGTTCCCTCGTTCTCTTTCCAAAGCAAAGGGCGGCCATATTTATTTTCCCGATTCAGGTTAATTTTAAGGGACACGACGACGGATTTCATTTAAAAAAAAAAAAATTATCATCATCATTGGTATTATTCATTCGAAAATCACACATTTAATCAACATTATCATTTTTTGAACAGGTAGGCGTATTATAATAATACGAGTCATCGGACCTTCATGATTCATTCATCCAAAGAGTGAGAGAGAGAGAGAGGGGGGGAGGGGAAGGAGGGGAGAGAAAGAGAAGGTAATTTTTAATTCTAATTCTTTCTAGAAGTTTTTACACCGATGACTTTTACATGAAAAACCTTGAAATTATACAATTCTTGTCCCATCGAACACCAACCGACAACACCAACTTGTTTCCCATATGAAGAATTTTCAAATGCTCTGAAAAAGGTTACCACGATTATCATCATCATCATCATCATCATCATCATCATCGCTCTGCGTCCTTGTCGAAGCCATTATCAACATGATTCGTTCCAGTTTTTTCGAAACTAACAAAAGAACATTCTGGAAATCCTCATTTTTCCCGTTTTTTCCTTCATCACTCTTTGTAACCTGATTTGTATGAGGTGGATGTATGGTTGTTTGCCTGTTTGCACACGTTTGTCTGTCTGTCTGTCGAATCGCGAAATCGTTTTCGATATTTCTCGTCGTGATCGTTTGTTGTGGGTGTTTGTTTTTTTTTTTTTTTTTTTTTTTTGTCCTTTTTCATTCATCAAGGTCGGGAGTGTCCCGATTGTCGTCTTCGCGTGGGAGGAAAAGCTTTTCCTTTTTGTTTTTTCCTTTTTAAGTTATCTTCCCGGCGATCAGTTATTTTTAAATCACAGCCAACGACACTTTTAATCATTATTATTATTATTTTTATTATTAGATTCCGATTCGTTTGCGAAAGTTAAACAACGTTGAAAGGTTGAAAAGAATTTTTCCTTTTCAACAACAACAACAATGAATAAACGAGTAAAAATTATTATTATTAACATTTTTTTTTTTATTCGACCGACACGTGCAAACAACAACAACAACAACAAATCCATTAATTTTCTTTTCAAAATTTCAATAATAACATAATAATAATGATAATTTATTCGACGTTTTTCTAATTTCTCCAAAATCCATGCGTAAAAAAAAACAAAAAAAAAAAAAAAAAGACGGATAATGAAAAGTAATAAAATAGAAATTAAACCGTTAATCAAACTTCATTTTTTTCGCTTGTCCGTTTGTTCGTTTGTTTGTTTGCTCGTTTGTCTGTACTGTCGATCATTTTTCTTTCCTTACGTTTCATACGTAAATCTCATCGAAAATTAAATTTATAATTTTACCGCGTGGAATAAACAAAAAAAAAAAGAAACAAACTCGAAAATATCGATAGATCGTATATATCGAACGAACGAACGTTTTAAAAATAATCGATTAATCGAATTTCCGGAAATTTTCCATCGGAAAAAATCCCCCCATCGATTACAATCTGTTTTATTATCACTTTTTCCGCGTTTCGCGAACCTATTACATGTTCTTCAATAATAATAATAATAAAAACCCTAATAAATTATCATCAGTATTATTAAATCGTAAACGAAAGAGCGCGCGCGCACGCACAAACACAAACGAAAAAAAAAAAGAAAAAATTTATCGAGTAAAATAATATACAAACGTTGAATTAAATTCGATCCGTTTCCGGTTTTTGTTGTTGTTGTTTATATAAAACAACAACGTAATACGTAATCGATAAGGTTAAATTTGAGGTTAAAAATTTTGTTATGAAAAAAAAAAAAAAAAAAAAAAAAAAGAAGTTTCGAAAATGCGTGAAAATGCAAAATGAGAAACCGTCATTCGAAATCAGGTACGCACGCATACACGCACGCACGCACGCACACCGCGGAAGAGAAAAGAAAATAGAAATTTTTTTTTTCTCTTATCACGACGCAAGCAAAAAGTTTTTTTTTTTTTAAACGACTTGAAAACAAAAATTTTGCTACGGGCAAAATTTATGTAAAAAATAATTTGCTACGATTTTTCCTTTTCATTTTCCTCCTCGAGGTAAAAAAAAAAAAAAAACCCAAACGTGTTTTAGAATTTTAGAAAAAAAAAAAAAAGAAAAAAATGTTTCCGGAAACAAAAATAAATTCATATTTCGAACGAAGGAAAAAAAAAATTCATTCACTCATTCATTCATTCATTCATTCGTTCGTTCGTTACAATTTCTGTCGTTCAACTTCGTATTATTATTATTATTATTATTATTATTATTATCAGACCGCGTGAAATTAATTTTAAAAAAATTTTTGTTTCCAATATCGCGTAATAAAAAAAAAAAAAAAACATTTTCTCCAGTTTTCCAGTTTTTTACTTTGGTCTGATTCTTCGACCGTGACCCATCTGCTTAATCGGTCATAGGTATCGTTTATACCACACGCACATGCACACGCACACACACACGCACTGTGGTCACTCGTCATCGACGTCATCGCTCGCGCACAGAAAGATAATAATGATAAGGGGGGTAAAAATCATTTCCGACACGGATGCGTTTGAAAAATATGGGGATGGGAGGCAAAAGAACGGCTTCGGGGGTTTCGGGGCCGGGGGGCCGGGGGGGGTAAGAAACGAAACAAAAACTCTTAGAAAGCGTCATTAAAAAAAATTTTTTCCAGAAGAAAAAAAAAAAAAAACCATTTAAAATTAACGATTATCATAATGTACGTGCGAAGTCACGAACTGCAAAAGAAATTTTTTCGAAAAAAAAACGGGAAAAATTTTTCAAAACCCTGGAGGGGAGTGGAGGGGGGGATAAATAAGGAGGTTTAGGGCCGCCATATTATTCACATTCAATAATTCAAACCAGATAAATGAATAACAACGTTTTTTTTTTTTTTTTCCTCCTCCTCCTTTGTTATTAATAATTCATTTATTTTTCATAAAAAAAAATTCCACTTTCTATTTTTACGAATTTGTGATGAGACTTCATAAAAAAAAAGAGAAAGGGAATAAATAGTTTTAGTTCGTTGTTTTAGACCGTAAAATAATAATAATAATAATAATAATAATAATAATAATAATAATAATAATAATAATAATAATAATAATAATAATAATAATTACGTCTTCCTTCTTCAAAATCATCATCGCATAAAATTTTTTTTTTTTTTAAAACAACGGATGATGGTTAACGGTAAATAATAATAATAATAATAATAATAATAATAATAATAATAATAATAATTATTATTATTATTATTTTTCACTTTTTTGCCCCTCCCCCCTCTCCCCTCTCCGTACTTATTCTCGCGTTTCGACTTTGAAACATTCCAGAAATGAAATTTAAACTCGATTTTATTAAAAAAAAAATGAAATTCATTTTCTGAAAGATTGCCAATGCCGCCTTGAAACTCCGTTATACCTGGCATGGTGAACAGGTACGGCCGAGTACGTAAAATGTACCGGGTTTTGACAACGCCCTAATTATTATTATTATTAATTATCATTAC